TATTTATTCAAATAACTGATGACTTGTAGAATATGTTTGATAAGAATGAATAATGATACAGCAAAAATATAAAAAAAAAGAAAGTTATACGTACATAATATTTTTTCTTTGATTAATGAGACTTCATATCTAGCAATGACAAATATTTCATATTACAAACAATATAAAGACGAAAAAGAAATACATCATTCAAGTCGTCATTAACAATTGTTGATATATAACATAATGAATGATGGTTCTACAGATAATAATATTTATATGTATACAGAAATTAAGCAAGAACAAAAAAAAATATTAACTGATTAATCTTTCTTATTTACTCCTTTTTCTTTTTGTTTATCAAGGAGAAAATTTCTATAAATACAATAACTATTCATACCTGATTTGATGATCGACACACACAAAAGACAAAATCATGATACTTTAGATAGGAATGAAAAAAACGTAGATGAGATATTTTATGCTGATTATAACGAAATTAGAAGTAAATAAGAAAACGTTCCTCCTCGATTTTTCTTGTCCTTTAGAACAAACATATTGTAGCATTTTTTATTTCGCATATGTATAGTCAATCATCCGAAACATTTATATGCTCGTTCTGTCGATTATTAACTATTCGTTTCTATTAATTGAAAAAAAGGTATGCAAATATATTATCAGTTAGTCTACTATCTTTTTTTGTCAAATAAACCAAATAAAAAATACATCAACTAAAAAACAAAAAAAGTCAATGTCAGTATGGATTTATTTGATGCACCATTCTATTGGGGACGAATAACTCGACAAGATGCTGAAGAAATTCTTGAACAAACAGGATTAAAAAAATGGTTTATATCTTATACGAGAAAAATTTGAAGAAGCCGGTGCTTATGCTATTACATTATGTTATTTAAAACGGTAATTAGAAAAAAAAAACTTAAAGCTTAAAATTCTTTTTGTTTTGTCTATTATTAAAGATTTTATCATTATCGTATTGATCGTCTTTTAAATGATAATGTTGTTCTTAATGGATCACGTGCTCAGGAAAAATTTTCTCTAACAAATAATGATAGTAGACTAAATGGTCAGCGTCGATCAGGAAAAGTTTCTGAACAAATGGAATTTCCTGGACCTATGGAATTAATAAATTATTTTCAAAAAAATGCCGATGCACTTATTACAACATTATCTATTCCATGTCAACGACCATTTGTAAAATTCAAATTTTTTTTATATCATTTAATTCGATTTCATTCTTCTTCAAAGGATCATAATTTTATACAATTTTGGTGTGTACCTTTACTTACAAGTGACTTGTATATGAGTAAAATTTGTCAAGAAGCTTCAAGTACTGATACTGAAGTAATAATAAACGATCGAATAATTTTATTTATTAGAATATTTTCAATTATTTCTAGATACCAATTAAAGAAAAATTAACATATAAAAGATATATTTATGAACGACGAGTATTAAAGTATTGATTTTTATATTAGTGTTGTATGATATAATTATATATTTAAAATCTTAGAGGTTTACATGAAGGTGAACCATGGTTTCATTCTCGTATTAGTCGACAAGAAGCAGAAATTCGTTTGAAAAATGCTGGTGGAAAAAGTGGCTTATTTTTGTATGTATATATTCATATATATTTGATTATGTCAATGTATTTGTTATTTAGAGTACGTGAAAAACGAGGTGATAAACGATCTCGTGAATATTATTCATTGAGTCTATGTTATCAACGAGAATATCATCATTATATAATTCAACAAACAGCAAATGGTCGTTTACAATTTGCATCAGCTAATAAATCTATGCGTATCAATCAATTTGGTAGTATTGTTCAAGTATGTATAAATTAAATGAATATAAAAGAAAATCTATTATAATATATATTAATATAGCTCATTGACTACTATTATCGATATCAACAAGATCTTGCTTGTGCTCTTCGATTTCCTTGTACTCGTCCTGGTGGTAAATAAAAGAATCTATTGTTTTTCTTTTAAATAATTATTGTTTTTTTCTTCATAGGATCTGTTCGAATTGTTCCTTATCAAAGTTTATTAGGATGTTTGTTATCTAATTGTTTCTTTTAATGATGTATGTATGAATGCGAAATTTTGTTTTTTAGTTGATACAAATACAGATTCGGAGACTAGTGGTACAGATTTATGGTCTCCTATGTCAACAGGATCGAATGGTCCAATAAGTGTTGCATCATTTTTTGGTTTTGATATGCAGAATCCTCCATTATCATCTGATCTAGATAATAATCATGATTCATCATCACCATCAAAAGAAAATATTTTTATCGATGAAAAATATCTTATATTCGGTGATAAACTTGGTAAGTTTGAATACAGTATTTAATAGACAGAGAAAATGAAAAATCTAATTTTGTTTAGGTGAAGGTCAATTTGGTGAAGTTTATAGCGGTAAATTAATTGGAAATGATGAGAATAATAATGGAATAACGAAGCCAACATTACAGCATATTGCTATAAAACAACTACGACATAGACAGGATTCGTTTGTTCAAGAATTATATAATGAAGGTGAACGTATGTTAAATTTAGATCATCCATATATTGTTAAAATATTTGGTATATGTAAACATGAAGCGAGTATATCACTCATACTTGAATTATGTCCATATGGTGCTATGAATCGTTGGTTAAGATTAAATAAGTAAATAAATATGAATACAACAAAAAAAGAAGTAATTAACAAAATTTAAAATTTTATTTTAGAACCTTTCGAATGAGTTATATTCTGAATTATATGTATCAAGTTAGTGATGGGATGAAATATTTACATGAAAAAAATATAATTCATCGAGATTTAGCATTAAGAAATATACTTATTATGTCACAAAATGTATGTAAAATATCAGACTTTGGTTTATCACGTGTTCTTGAAGAAAATTCGTATTATCAAGTAAAATTTGTTTTTTTCTATTATTAAAAAAATGAAAGAAAACAAAATTCTTTTTTTATAGATTGGACGAAATCGTCGATTACCTTCGATGTGGTATCCACCAGAAGTTCTTGAAACATCTGTATTTCATTCTGAAATTGATATTTGGTCATTTGGTGTTACTATTTGGGAAGCAACATCTTATGGTCAAACACCTTATAGACAAGTAAGATATATTCATTTATTTTTTGAAAAAAAGAAATCTTTCATTTTATGATATATATAGGAACTTGAGGCAATGACAAACGTGACATTTGATCCAATATCACAAAAATTACTTCGATTTTTACGAGATGGCAATCGTCTAAAACAGCCTACGAATTGTCCAGATCACATCTATGATTTAATGCTCAAGTGTTGGGAATATGAGTAAGAAATAATATAATTCTTTGTTTTTTCCTAGTACTTTATATTTTTAATTTTCTTTACTAGTAAACATAAACGACCAAAATTCGATTGGATAAGACAATATCTCAGTATATATGCCACTTCTCAGCAACATACTGATCGTTTTTAATTCTTTTGTTTTGAATGTATTTTTTTTTATAGTTATAAGAAATAAAAATGAGTTATTTTTTAGAATCATTCATATTTAAACTTGGACACTTTATTTGAAAAAATAAGAATCTTATTCACAGCTTATCATCATCAACTAATAATCAATGCATTGATCATACTGGTATAATTTTTTCTATAGTTTAAATGAAATAGATTGTTATGATGTGCGTTGATAACATCAGATCACATTGTTGTTCATTTTTTCTCTTCTCTAATCGGCGTCTTTACATGTTTAATGAGGTGCCTGTTTGTTCTTAAAGTTTATTTTTCAATAACAACGAAAGAAATATAAAGTTTTTACTTGAAAGCTGTCATAATAATTTCTAAACTAAATTTTTAATATATTTTTCTGACTTATTAATGAAAAGATTTCGAGTTTAAATTAAGAATTAATCATTTTTGCTTTGTCAGTTTCAACAATTGTGAATGATGCTGCTCAGTCATACTAGTTTGTGTAATTGATATCAAGACATTTAAATATCTATTGTTGTTCGTGTGATATTACTGAAGAGTATTGTAATATGTTATAAATAGAAATATGATTCATTTATTTTTTCTTTATTTTAAATTATTCGTGTACTTTGATGAACTGGAAAGCAGTTTATTTTCTCTTAGTGTAAAGTAAAAATCAATTAGTTCATATTTAAATACTTTTATTAAATAAAAAAGAACTTTTCATACACACGATAATATTAACATTCTTCTAACAACTGTTTTCTCAGAAGAATATTTTTTTTGAAAAAAATTTATCTTTGAATAACGTCATAAATTTGTTTTATTTAAATAGTAATTAATGTATTATTGCACAAGGAAAATAATCTCGTAAAGATTTAGAATAAATTTTTTCTCCATAGAAAAAGATTTCACTTATTTTAGCACAATTAATTCGTAAAACATCTCTTGTAAAATTATGTGTTACTCTTTCTAATGATTTATACTTGATATAAATCCGAATATTATTATGAAAATATGTTTCTGTATTGAATAAAAATTCTTCTATATAATCATCATGAACTTCTCCAATATCAAGTGTAACAAGATAATTATATTTAACAATTGTTGAATCATAATTATCATTTATTGATTTATAAGATTGTGTATGTTTTTGTGATTGATAATTAATTAAAGATAATTTTTCCATAAATGGAAATGATTGAGAAATTTTAATAAAAAATTCATGTTCAAAAGAATATTCATCATATAATGATATAAAACGAACATATTGGTATAATCCACCTGGAAAATTATTTGTTATCCCTACATAATATGGCATTTCAGATGGATATGAAAAAACATGGCATTGACTCTTTTTTTGTTCTAGAAAATAATCAACATAAGATATTATATTCGTATATTGAAAATCTCTAAATGTCTCCTCAATGTCTTTTTTAGATGGTAAATTCATTTGATCATTTTTATACATGACTGAACGAATATCAAATGTAAATAGATTCAATTGTGGTAAACGGTCGATAATATTTTTTTGTAAATCATTTCCATCAATAAACTTATCAGTAATATAAATTGTAAGATATAAACTAAGTTTTTCTATATTTGACATTCGATAAATAAGTGGCAGAAGTAATTCTTCGTAATGTGCTATTTCATTGGCACATGATAGAACAAACCACTTTAGATTTAAAATTTTCTCCTAGAAAAGTAAAATAAAATAAAATAAAACAAAATTTATATTGTTTTAAAACTAACTTTATTTTCGATTAAATCTGTTGATATACAATTATTAATCAAATCAACAGTGAGTGTATGAAGTTGACTAAAACGA